TGTACAGTACTATACTAACACTGGACAACGAAGGTTGTAACAAGGGAACAGAGGACATAATAACCACTTGAATAGCTTGTAACTTGAGAAGTGGAAAAAAAAGATACAGTAAATTAATTTACAAAGAAGAAGAAGAAGAAGAAGAATGAGCACTTGACATGACATCAGCATAACTGTCCACATCTCACTTCTCTTCTCGAGTTGGCCATAAGGATTTTCAGGCTTCAACCCCCAAATTTAACCCTGGCCACACCTGCCATTGAACTGGTGTTACATTCCTTCTATTAGTTTTGAACAGAAATACACTGTCTTGTTTTATTTTAGCAATACTTGAAGTGTTTTGAATGAGTCACACACCCCTGATGCAACATTATGTGTATGTCAGCACCTCCCCTCCTTTCTCTCTCTCTCTCTCTCTCTTAGGGTAAGGATAGTAGTAAGAGAAATCACTCTTCTATGATTAGTCCAGCACACTAGTGTCAGGTTTCTTGGCTCTAGATCAACAGCTTATTGGGTGCATTACACACATTCACAAATTGGCTCAGTCCAATGTTAGGCCCAAGGTTGAATAACTGAGAAACAATCTATGACCATGAATGTATTAATTTGTGGATGCTTATACTGTAAAAGAATGTACAGCACAATATATGGAATACTCTCGATTTAACGGAATCCGATATAATGAACTCTCGATTTAGCGGAAGGATATTTTTTCCCGTTATTTTTCGCTAGATTTAGTGAACTAGTTTGCTAAATTGAGATTAATTCTGTTAATACGCTGCCACCTATGGAGACACATCAAACACACCTTAAACTAGGGGGTTCGGTGTTTGTTTTAAATTTGTTCTATTATTTCCAAACTTTTTTCCAATTGATAGCTGCACTCTTTTGACTTTCTCCCCCACACCACTTCCTTTCTGAGACTTCTGAGAGACTTTCGGCATGATGTCTAAGTACAGTAGTTAGTTGACTGAGAGGTAGACCGAAAGGTAACAGTAAACAACACACGCAGTGGCGGCAGGACACAAACTTAGCAGATGTAAACAAACCCCACGCATCAAGTGGTGCATTTGACACGGAATTTAACAGAATCATGCTACATTTAGTGAACTAGTTTCTCTGTAGCTGTCGGTCACACTAGAATAACCCATTATAGTACCTCCTTCTTTCCTCACACAGCCAAACTGTGGAATGCTCTGCCTTCTTCTGTGTTTCCATACTCTTACAATATGTCTCACTTTAAAAAATGGATTTCCGGCATCTTCGTGGTGTAGATTAATATAATCTTTTTCCTTTCTATTTAATTTTTTTCAACTCTTTAGCTGTTGGCACACTGAAAATACTGTACAGTATTTAACATATTTAAAAGTGACTAAAATTAAGACAATAATACAATATTTCAAGGGGTTATAAGTTGGCTCTGGAACTGTTTTTGAAGTCTGTGTGCATGTGTGTTCATGAGACGTTTGTAGTGTGTCTATGGGTTTAAACGTCTGTGTTATACTAACTTAACCATGTAACAAAATTATTCAAGAATGTTGGGAAGATGTAGACTGTATTGTATATCTCTCCAACTCACCTGAACTTTGGAACATGAATTCAATTTTAAATCCAATCTTTTTTAACTTATCACTTCACCACTTATCAGTTTTCTCACACAGTACAGTATTTGGGTGGTAGGTCTATTCTTTGTTATGACCTTTATTGTTCATGTTTAAATTCAGGTATTCATGAATTATTTTTTGGCCCATAGACATACTACTGTATTACATGATCTTCAGGCACAAACACACACACACACACACACACAAACTGGTTCTAAAAACAGTCTCATGCCAACTTTAAACACCTGATATAATCCCCTTAACATAACCAATAATAGCCTCAAAAATTTAAGATGTAAACCCTATATCAAAAGTAGCTTGTCTAATGTCCACCTTTATTATTATTATAAAAAAAATTGTAACTATCATTTATTAGTTTCCTTCACTCTTGTAAACCAATACAGTGCAGCGGGGTGGTCAGCATCAGGGGCAACACATACTGCCTGATTCAATCTTCCTAACTACCTCACCAGACATGTCCTCTTCACCATTGGTCAGCTGGCAATAATGATTGTATTGTATGAGTCTCCCAAATATGTGATTATCTTTGTCTTCTACCAAGACTATAGAGTTTCCTTCAACACTGTCAGGCACACAGGCAACTGCATAACTATAAAATGTTGTTGAAACAACTTAAAAATTTTTTGTTACTATAGAAAAACACTGACATATCCTATATCTATCTACACAGACATATACTGTACTTCTATTAAACCCTCTCGACTAAGACTGTTTATGCAACCCAACAATGTTCATATATGATTTATGCATCAGCTGCCTTTACAAATGCCAATTTTAGATGACCTAATCATTTAATGAGTGAACTTTTTGCCTGGTCTTGGCAACCCTTCCCATGTTCACCAGCCCTCACTGATGTGGCTGAAGACTGCTACCTGTTCACTCTCATGCTCTTGAGTTTTATCACCATGATTTCATACGAATGTAAATGCAAACTTTCATCTTGCACAGCTTCTCCCTTTTATAAAAATGCACTTTCAGATAACCAATACAGTACTTTATAAAAACAACAACAAGCACCCAACTCCAATACACAATAAAGTTGCTGTGCTTAATATATGAACTTTGGCTACCTCACATGTAAAGCCACAATGCTTCATAAGGTTTCCATTATACTCATTCATCTTATACAATCTTTTTTTAATTTTTTTGGCATCTCAAATCAAATAACCAGCTCAGCACATACTGTACTGCGAAAATTATTGTTTACATGTGAATTCAGGTATGAGTGTAATGAATCTTCTACATTACTGAAAAATCTCAATATATATATATATATATATATATATACAGTGGTCCCTCGGTTAACAAGCACAATTCGTTCCAGCAGGTTGCTCGTTAACCGAAACCATTGTTTCAATGGGTTTTTGGGTAATTGGTTCCAGCTCACCGAAAATTGCATGTTGAAGGCTCCTGGATGATGATGATGATGATGGGAATTAGAATGGGGGTGGAGGAGAAGGAAGAAGAGAAGGCATTGGGGTGGAAGAGAAGTCACCCCATAGCACCATTTCACCCATAAAATTTTAGTTCTCTTGGTGTATTTCAAGATTATTTTCTGTAAATCAACACTGCACTGCATTAAATATTGTCAATATGTAAAATATATTTCAAAATGACCAATAATTTGCTTGGAAACACAGAAAAAAAGCGTTTAGTTGAAGAGAGTCTCAAGCAAGATGTTACCTCCACTGAAAACAGAGAGAGACTAACGCCTGTCTGGTGTGTTAACAGGCTGGATGGCACGCCAGAAACTAAATTCTTTTCCTTCAATTATGTTCAATAATTGTTAAAATGACTTAAAAAGTTAATATTAAACTTTTAAAATTATTGAATAGTATAAACTTCTTGATATTTACTAAAATAGTAAGGAATTTAAGCCCTAAAACCGATTACTGTATTGGCGGACTAATACTACAGCTGGTGGACCGCCAAATGCAAGCGAAAACATGTTGAAGTCGGCTCGTAAAAAACTCGTTAATCGAGGGATTACTCGTTAACCGAAGTTAAGAATCTTATGGAAGGTAAATCGTTAACCGAAATCTCGTTAACCGAGGCGCTCGTGAACCGAGGGACCACTGTATATGTTAATTCACTCCATGAAGTATTATTTTCAAGACAATGCAGAAGAAACATACAGTGTGACACTTATCACCAATACATTTCCCAGGTTAAAAACAGTAAGAATGTTTTAGGTGTGCTGGTTGTTCTTCATGAAACACACACACACACGCATGTAAGCGCGCACGCACGCACGCACGCACGCACACACACACATGCATTTATGCACACACACATATGCACATGCACACACATATTCACTCATGCACACACACATGCATGCATGCACATATGCACACACACACACATCATTCACCAACTGACTCATTCACAGACTCTGACATTCACTCACTCACTTGATCATGAGTATTTATGTTAACTAAATCTTATGGTTGTTATGTATAATTATGTTGGGTTTGTAATTAAATTCAATTAATCTTAGTGATCCAAACATCAGCTTAAATATATAAGAAAAATATATACAGTACGTGTGTGTGTGTGTGTGTAATTTAATCAAATAAAAATAATTACTGTAAATATTATGTCTTCTGTAATATATCAATATACACTACACTAATTCCCTTGAATCTGGATTCACCTAAAACTGGAATGCATGAAGAGTCAGAAGCCCCTTTGATCTGACATCCACTGAAAGTTTACAGCAAAATATTTAAAAAATCATATGCATTAGTTCACTTTATGTGTACTGTACAGTACAACACGGTGTGTGAGGGAATTGTCTGAGAATCAGTCATGTAGATGAGTAGCTGAGAAAGGTCACACAAACTCCAATTCCCCTCAACAGGCCAGAATCCTCTCTCTTGTGCATTTTTGCATGAAGAATTCTTAAAATGTTCTATGTTAACAATACTGTACGTACATGTACTGTAAAGAGTGTATGTATGTTTGCTATGTGCTGGAAAGAAGTCATCATTGCAAAAAAATTACACATCCTAGAATAATTATGAAAAGAAGTTTGTGTGGCAATGTTGATAGATGAGTAAAGTACCCAGTATGTATTGTGCGCTGCATCATGCCATCACCAACACACACAGCCACTCACAACTGTTTACCATCATTCTTAAACTAGTTTGGTAAGTACTGTACTAATGTTATAATAAATTATAGGTATTCTTAATCAGTTGTATGTTTTTGCATTGGTGATGCAGCAGTAGTGCATGTATCTCTGAAGTAGTGTCCTGGGTTCAATCCCAAGCCCGGGTCAGATGTGAGAAGGGTGTTATCCAGTATAACACTACCAAAAATAGTATGTTTCCTCTGGGTACTTCCTGCTGTACTAACACTAGACAATGAAGGTCTTAGCAAAGTAACAAAGAGTAAATCAACTGCATGAAAGACTAGTAAGCTGAAAAGTGAAGAAATTATAATAAACAAAATACCTGTACAAAAAAACCAGCTTCATTTAACAGAATGTTGCTCCAATCCTGATTTTTTTATGTCTAGACCAACCTGGGGCTGAATTAGTCCAAATTCAAGAGGTTTTCATACATATACTGTACTTCTTTTTCAGAACAAAAGAAGAAAATAGTAAGTGTACTAGTCTGCAATATCTTTAGATACTTCACAACACACCTTTTCTCTCATACACAACACAGGTTGTCACAAAAAAATTTACACACTTTAGTATCTTACAGATTTTCGTGGCGACTGTCCTTACTTGTTGATGCTGGGTCGCATATTAACTAGTGAGAACGATGCTGCTGTTATAATGCAATCATTCATGTGATCACTATGAAAATCTGTAAGGCAGTGTGTATACATTTTATGACATACCCTGTATATGAATCCATTTGTGAAACTAATTGAAGAAACAATGTTCCTTCATAAGCTAAATATAATAATACACTGAACAAATAAATACCTGTACCCGGGTTTTAAATTTACATACACTTTGACTACGGTCGTCACAAAATTTTTGCTTAAAATAATGGGTTGCTTCATTGGTAACCTGCAAAATTTACCTCGCAATAAACTTGTTAATTTTAATAAACATTTAGTCTATAAAAGATTATCTTTGGTCTCTGGAAGCTTCAGAGAAACTATAGATCCCAGCATTAGAACAATGGAAGTAGCAATCATTGGGATAGCTCGACTGGAGTAAATAAACTGACCAAAGACCAGTGATCCCATCACTCCTGCGATACGTGATGCAGCGCTGAGGAAGCCATATGCTGTTGTCCTGTCAAGAAATAGAATTCAACATAATTAGTAATAATAAAGCTATAGTTTAGTCACAATCACACCTGTATGGACTATGTACTTACTGTAAAGTCTAAAATACAGTACAATATATATATACAGTATAAATATATTTGTTAACTGCATAACTGGCAAAATTGGCCTTTCTTATCTCATCATGTTCTTTTCCTCTAAGGACTCTGAATCCCAAAGCCAATGAAATAACAGCCATCTTCTCCCCTCACTTTACCTGATATGTGTTGGGAAAGCTTCCGTTGTTGCTATATCCAGCGCATTCCAACCAGATATGAAAATAAAGTTGAATACAGCTTCAAAGACAATGACACTAATTTTACTGCTTAGAAACCAGATGAAGAATGCCGATATTGATGACAATGCCATAGATATACCTGTAACAAGAACATTATCTTAATGACAACAGAACAAACTTCAGTACTGTACAATATTGTCTCTTATGACACTATAGTATTTCCACGCTAACCTGGTCCGTAAGCCCTGCCCCTCGTCTATAGCTACAAATAGCTGATTGGTTCCCTGAGTGTTTTACCCCCCCCCCACGGACTGCACGTATATAAGCGCGTATTTATATCAAACTTTCATAATAAATATTTAAAATTTTCTAACATCCTCTCTGAAATGCTAATGCCTTAAAATGATTTGCATTTTGATAATCCATATATTTAACATTATTTTAGATAATAACAGGTCTGCTAACCGGTTGTGAACACATTTAGTTTGAATTTCTATGAACCAATCAGCTATTAGCAAAGAAGAGAGGCAGGGCCTATGGGCCAGGTTAGTGTGGAAAGGGTATTGTGTACTTTCATATGTGCAACCATTACAACTAAAAAGTAATGCTCATGTTATAATATTATTACTGTATTGTACTTCAACAGCTTAGGAAATTAAGCATGTAACTGGTTCAGAAATTACACTACCTGTACATTATGTACAGGCAGTTTATAAAAAATTATGAGACACAGCTCTCTACATTACATACAGGGACACCAATACATCCCTTCCACATTACATACAGTATAACCTCCCCCAGAAAAAAAATATTACTGTACTGTATACTGGGTAGTTATATTATTCTGACCAAATTATTATTTTTTTTATAATACTAATGAATTGAAATACTGTATTAAAATGTTATTATTGTGTTTTAACAGCTTAGGTCTTTAACAGCATTACTAGTTTAAAAATTACAGTTCAACAACAATTCAAAACTATGATATATACAACTCTCTATTGTGTTAGATTAAAGTGAAGATTTTATTGCATCTGTACAGTACCTATATGGTCCATCTCTACTTTTCAAGGGTATAGTGCTACCACACTTGGAGAACTATAATTCTGCTTAATCTCCGAGTCTTTGTTGGTATTGACATTATAATGATATTTCTGCATTTTGACAATGAAGGTCTTTATGCAGGTAACAAGGTTAGTAATCACACTAGTCCATCAACAATTAAAAATTATGTTGTAACTCTCTATACACAAACAGTATTCCATTTATCAACAGAGACAAGAATGTCTGCAGTTTCTCAGGCTATACGGGTTGAAACTCAATACAGTACTGTACTGTAATCTAGAATGCGTGGAACCTAACTCTTGCCAGTTTCCTAAATACGCCAGATTTTTTGATTGGGTTCTCCTCATAATAGCAGTAAAGGAAATCTGATTTTCATTATGACTACCAGATTTTCGCACTAGTATTTATATTTCTTAAAACATGATACAGTAATTATAAATTTTACTATGTAATGAATATAAAAAAAATAGCTATTAAAAATAATAATGATAAACATAAGGCATACTCACTCATAATCCTAACCCTTCCTAACTTATCCAGGAGGAGGGATGTGATCAGAGTGCCAGGAATCATAGTCAACTGTCCAATCAAATTCTCCTGAAACACCGCCTTGTAGTGGATATTATAATCAAAATCTAGTGGACAGCCAGGTGCAAGTCCATGGAATGTGTTGTCAGTCATTTCACAGTCCTGAAAGCGGTACTTGTGTATGTCAGTGTCGATGAAGCTATTGCGTGCTATGTGGCAAAACCTGTAAAGAACAATAAGCTATGTGAAAATACTCTCTAAAACAGAAGGGTAATGTTAAAATATTCCATAAAAATCAAATATAAACAATAATATACAGAACATATACTGACCAGGAAGAAATGTGCACTGAATCTATGTAATTAAACATTGTTACGTTTATGCGATAAGATGCGATAAAGGCAGCAAAAAAATATAAAAATAAAATAAAATCCTGACATATTTAGGATTATTACATGGCAATAATGTACAAGTACTGTACTCTATTACAGTTATTCCTCCACCTTGCACAACATTATGCCATGAAACACCTAGAAGAAAGAAATTGCACGAGGTACTAATTTACGGTAATATCAAAGTAAAGTAATAAAAAGGATGGGAATGCAGCAACTAAGTTGATGTTAGCACTTCCCTCCTGTCCTACAGGTCCCAGGACACTACCAAGCCAACTAACTGCAAATGATATCTAACTTTGGAACTACCTGCCCCTTTAGAGGTCACAGCCTCAACTAGAAGAAGCCACAAGTTTAAGAAAATTGTCAAAGCAAAACTTTTTGGGAGTGAGAATTGTAGACACATGGAACAATCTGCCAGAGAATGTTGTGACGGCACTGAGTGTGAGCTCACCCAAGAACAAACTTGACCATCACTGGCGCAGGTACAAATACATCTTAGAACCAGTAAAGTCCATGCCCAGTACTTTCCAACAGTGCGTAACAGAGACGTGACTGACCGCCCAAGTGGCTAACAAGCCGATCAGTGGTGAAGAGGATAAAATTAAAAATATATACATTGCTGTATTTCCAACCTAAAATTACTTCTTTGTAATGCAAATTATGTTATTTGTGAAATTCCGACATAAGTTTTAGGATAGCGAGGTCATAAATCTGCTCATAGCGATACATAAATATGTCTCAATCAGGATTAAGAAATTCACTCCAAAGTGTTTACATAACCAGACTGATATGTAGAATTTACTTTTGGCGTACGTACATACAGCACAGCCCAGTACAGCTCCTCCCCGACTTACGACGGGATTAGGGACCCAAATCCAGGCCATAAGTTGAAATGGTCGTATCTAAAATGAGTCTCTTTTTCTTCTCAGCACCACAAAACTCTCACTTTTAAGCTTGCTAGCCATTTTAAAGTGAATTACAAACGAAAGTTTTGTCTGTGTACTGAAGTTGGGACTCGAAAATATGTAATTTGACAAAATTTTGGTACGACTGAGGCAGGTCGTAGGTGCGGGTGGTCGTAAATAGAGCAGGTCATAAGTCGGGGAGGAGCTGTACTTCATTATTGTACAGCTTATATAAAACGTCTGAATTTTCTGGAGTTAAAAGTGAGACATCTCTTGAATAATAAAATAATGTTATGAAGGCACCAATTGCACGTACATTTAAGACCAAACTTGACCAACACTGGTACTGTACATGTTCGGGTACATTCTAGAGCCCATACATGCCTAATACTTGCCAACAGTGTGTAAAAGAGAAATGACACTGCCAGATGAGCTAGCATGCCGACTAGTAGCGAAGAGGATCAAGTAAACACATAAACATACTGCACAGTGAAGTTAAGCAATGTTGGGTCTAGTTTGTACTTGGATGTGTGACCACCTGGGAACACCAAATGCTGATGGTGACCTTACTGAAAACAAACATCTCATGGCTTTGTCAACTATCCTTAACCAAATATTGTACCTCTGACTACTGTGTCCTGGTAGGTTTTCTCTGGGTACTCTGGTTTCCTATTGTAATAACACTGGATAGTAAAGATTTTAACAAAGACCAGACCAACTAGCTGAGAGGCTAGCAAGCTGAGTAGTGATGAAATGATAATTACAGTAAATAAATAATTAAACTCACTTAAAAAATGTCTTGCTTGTCCTAACATCCGAGAAAAGGCTGTCATAAATGGAACAGTTGAGGAAGAGGACATGATTGATGAGGGTCTTGCTGAAAGTGACATTGTTGAAGATGGTGCCCACAAAATGGATGTTGTCCAGAGTGGTGTTGCTGAAGATTTCGTCTTTAATCACATCATCTATAAGATTTACCAGTGTTATTATGTGATAATGATAACATAAACAACAAATTTACCTTTATGTACCTGATAATTATATAATTCTACACACTGTCTTACAGATATTCATGTGAATCACATGAATGCTTGTAGAGTATTACAACAGCAACATTGTCCTCACTTGATGTGTGTGAGGTCTCCCACAAATGAGGACAATGTTGCTGTTGTAATATCCTGCACAGTACTTGTATATTCTTTACCAGATGTGTGACCATACATGTCTCGTCTACAATTTCTTGATAACCAGACATACTCACAAAAAAAGGCATCTCTTTTAATTTGCATAATGTGAAAGTGGGTCCCACAGACATGGCTGCCCGTCAAGGACAGTGTGGATACAGGACACTGTATACTAAGCCTTTGGTACACAAGGAGGCAGCATGGCCGGTACTGCACTCGGCCACATTAACTTCCCCCAAGTTGTATACAGTATTTTAGTACCCATTTACAGCTGGGTGAACTGGAAACGCCTGGGAATTAAACCACTAACTCCTGGAACAGGAGGCGAGTGCTGTATCCACTTGACCGTCACACTCCTGTGCATAATGCAACTTCATCAAACAAAACATGTCAAAGATACCTATAATCAAATAAGCAGGATATATATATATATATATATATATATATATATATATATATATATATATATATATATATATATATATAATATATATATATATATATATATATATATATATATATATATATATATATATATATATATATATATATATATATATATATATATATATATATATATATATATATATATATATATATATATATATATATATATATATATATATATATATATATATATATATATATATATATATATATATATATATATATATATATATATATATAACATGGCTGAAACATTTTCACTTTTTTTCAAAAAGGAAATTTATATTAAGGACACCCGGTGCTGTTGGTGTTAGTTGCTTGCTTACCCCTAGAGATGTTGGCGTGTTTGTCGTACTCCTCAGTCTTAAGCAGCTTAATATACTCCGGGAACCAAACTGACAGCCCATAAAACCTGTCCACAAGAAAACAAATTAATATATTTGTACATTCCAGAACAAATTATCTGTGAGAGTTGTAAATGTTGAAATACAGCAACCAAAAATCAATTTGTTTCAATGTACTTCACTTCTGTATTACCTCTTAGTACATTCTGGAAGCATAACACCAATCACAGATAAAGATACAGAGCTATCACGGTGTTGGTGATACAGTGTCTCTCATTGTTATTTCCCAGGTCCGATCCCTCCCTGGCCCGAGTCAGATGTGGGAAGGGTGTTACATTCAGTACTGGACAATAACATTCATAATAAAGAACAGACCGACTGCCTGAATGGCTGGTGGTGGAAATGAATTAGAATACTGGTCATATAATTAGTGAATAACAACAGTCCCTTCTTATGGGATAGAGTTGCTTGGGGAGAGAATAACAATCTTCAGAATGTTGTTAAACTGTTGCTAAGTTAGGGTTTTCTTAGGTCCTAAGGCCCAAGGTTTTGGAGGTCATACTGTATTCACAAGTTGTTCAAGAGAGAATAGGAAACTTGGATACAATAACAGATGTATGTGGGAGTTGTATTGTCATAGGTGAACACAGTGATGTACAGTCGATAAAAAAGACTTATGCACCCTCTGGATCTGACAGCCTTTGCAGCGACCACTGACAGAGACCATGTTAATTTGATAAGGTTGGTACTTCTGATTGCGTGATGCATTGTGTAACCAATACTGTACGATGTATTCTGTATATCATGTATAGTTAATACCGAGAAATTAACATGAATCACCCGAGCAAGTGAGTGTTGTTCAGAATTCTTGGTCCGGTTTGTCATATTGTATTACAACATAAAGGTGCAGAATCATATTTTTTGAAAACTGGCAAGTAAGCTGATAAGTGGTAAAGAGTATAAAGAACACATTTATTTCCCATTTCACCACTTATCAGCTTACCCACCATTCACTTGGTTGGATTGTTCGTCATGCTTGATGTGAGGAAACAACATTGCCTATAGGAATAAATTATTGTCATTATGAAGTATAAAACTCACCCAAATGAACAGGTAAGCCACACAACCAGGAGCAAGAGAGTGGTCTTCAAGTAGGGTGGCAGAAACAGTTGAAGAAAGAGACCCCAAAACTGTAAAGACCAAACCGAGAATTACTAAAGTAGTACCAGTAGTAGTTTGGTGGTGGTGGTGGTGGTGGTGATGATGATGATGATGATGATGATGATGATGATGATGATGATGATGATGATGATGATGATGGTTGTGATGATGATGGTGGTGGTGGTGGTAGTGATGATGATGATGGTGGTGGTGGTGGTACAGGTGGTAGTAGTATTGACAATGATGAGGATGATGATCATCATGGGAGTGGTGGTGGTGGTGGTAGTTTTATGATGGTGGTGGTGGTGATGGTGACAATAGTGGTGATCGTAGTGGTAGTTTGATGATGCTGATGATGACAGTAGTAGTGGTGATAATGGTGATGGTAGTGATGATGATGATGATGACTAAACTATAATATAAGATTCAATTGTTATTCATGTTCCTCATATAGAATTAATCATCTCCAACAACCACAAAATTATCTCCAGTAGATGAATAAAGGTGTTACATACAGTACAGTGCCAGACATTGAGCCAAACAAGGTTAAAGATAAGGAGTTCTTGGTGCAGTTAATATAAGGAATAAAATAAATTAATAATGTTTACAGGACATTACGGTTTGGTTGGATTAGGTTAGGTGAGTTTGTTAAAGTTAGGTTAGATTGGTACGTTATGCAAGTTTAGGTTAATAAGGTTAGTTAGGTTGGTTAGGTTGGTTAGTTTAGGTTAAGTTAGTTAGGTTAGGTTTGTTAGTTTATAATAGTTATATTAGGTTCATTAGATTAGATTAGACTAGTTTAGTTAAGTTAGGTTTAGGAAATCAAGAAATTTCAAAACAATGAATAATTTTCTTTTCTATTTCTTCATCTTAATTCACCTCTAACTTTACCCTGTTTGGTTCCATTTATACAGAACATCATGTGCAGTATTATGGAACACCCTGTACAACTGAAGTAGCTTGATCACTCAAGTTTTTTATTTTTTAATAAAGTTTTGATAAGTACAGTATGTTTTTTCTTTTTAATTGATACCTAAGACTGTCCAAAGATAAGTGTACAGGTATAAAAAAATGCAAAGAAACATTAACCCCCTTGTGTACAGCTTCCCCTCTAAGCTGAATAAAATCATCTGGAGTTTGCCGAATAAGGTACAGTACATTACTGAAAGTAGCATCCCCAAAGTGAAGAGGTTAAAGCTCTTGTCCATTTCTAGGGTTCACCAAGCAACAAAACAAAGATTAACTGTACCTGTACAGTAAACAGATTTTTCTCACTTGCTATGCTATTTTCAAGCCTTTCTTCCCTGTGACTTCCCTGAGAAGTAGTTACTCCCAGTTTTTAAAGGCTAGGCAAGGAGACTTACTTGTTCTAGACCATATGAGATGTCAGCGACAAAATTCTTCCCAACTCCCTGAGGTGGAGTGTGACGAAGAGGCCGATGACTCCCAGATGGTAACTCAAATTCTGTCAGCTGGTACTCTGCTCCAGGATTATGAGCATTATTCCATTTGAATATTTTCTATACAAAGAAAAAAATTAAACATTAGTTATCAAGACTTCTGTGTGATCATAGCTTGTGATTTTTAAGTGATATTGTACAGTACATCTGTACAGTAGTTATATGATATGCCTAAAACTGTACAACCCCAAGATTGACATTAGCCTTTGTAGATTCCATTATATTTCAAACACTCACAGAATCAGTCCCTCATTTTTTGTCTTTCACATTATATTCAAGGTTTGAAAATTCATTAACTTGAGAACTCCATTCCAGGACCTTTGAAGTAAAATATATGATTAGTATGTTTTTATGTCCTCATACACCACGAGTACCTTACATATTCACTAAAATTGCAAGATATACTAGTACAGTATTATCTTGTGCACCATGAATATATACCTTCGTCATTAAAAGCAGATACAGATACATACAGTAGCTTGTACACTTATTAAATATCTTGTACTGTACATCAACAGTACAAACTGTCTACACTAGGAGCACCTCTCTTGTAGATTAAGAGTACTGTACACACTGTCAACAATGAACACATATCTTGTACATCAAGAATAAAAAACTTCTTCAGTAATAACTAATCATCTTATACTGTACATCCACACTGCAATCTGTGCACACCAAGAGTTCATTCATACCTTGTACACCATCATGGCCTCCACCTCCCTCCCTTTCTCCAGCAAAAAGCGAGGAGACTCTGGCATGAAGTACAGGCCAATGACGGCTGCGAATGATGGTAAGGAGCATATTGCCAAGAACACACGCCATGAGCTAAAGTGATGCTCTTCATCCAATACCACTGTGATGCCTGTTGGACAGAATTATTGCTGTTATATCTGGCAGAGTTATAATACCAGTTCGAGAGAATTATACAGCTGTGATAACTGGTGGAAAGAATTATAATACACTGACCTGATAAATAATCACAATTCTGTGATACCTGGCAGACAGAAATACAGTAGGTACAGTACAGTACATACCAGGTGGACAGAATCTACTGCACTCTGCAAAGGTATTTTGATCCTGTGTCCTGGTTTAGAGGTCCGAACAAAAGCCCCCTCAGTTAAAGTGCAAAATAGGTTATGTTAGGTTAGGTATTGAATAATATTTTACATGTCAATGAAATGTTCATAAATTGTAAATAACAAAGAATAAAAATAATTGTTTAAAAAATACTTATTATATTTGTCCCCGAGCTTTCGTCCTCAGGGGTTTTATTCCTAAGGGGCTTTTGTCTGGGGGCTCGCTCCCTGGGTTCAATCCCCAGTCTGGGACAGGGGGCACAAGTGCGTTATCCAGTGAGACACTCAAACATTAATCTGACCACATAAAAAAAAAAACCTGTAGGTGAAGAAAATTTCTATACAGTATTATTAACCACAGAATGTTGAAGTGATCCGCCAGCCTCAAATAGTCTAATGTAATCCTTATTGTATTCATAAAAAATACTCACCATTACTCATGTAAATATACTGTGCTATCGCTGATTAGAGGCCAAGACTAAGCAAGGGACTCTCCTGGAAATAAGCATCTGATAGCTATGCTGGCTATCCTTAGTCAAATTGCCGTCCTCAAAATATGCCAATGACTTTTAAGATGATTGAGAATGTTCAAAAGGAGGCCTACCTAGCTTATACTACAGTCAGACGGGCAAGGGGGGACCTAATGGAGGTGTATAAAGATCTCAAAGGACACTAGTCAGTCGCGTGTCCATACCTCGAGCCCCCGGACGCCTGCCCCAGTGGCGAAGAGGATGAAAGAAAGATAAAAGTGATGAACGCCAGTGAAAAGGAACGTCAGTAAGGATAAATGCCAGTGAGGATGAACGCCAATGAAGATGAACTCGTGAAAATAAACGCCAATAAAAATAATCGCTAGTAAAGATGAAAGCCAGTTATAATAAACGGCAGTGAAAATGAACGTTAGTATAGATGGACGCCAATGGAAATGATAGCCAAAAAACATGAACGCCAGTAAAATTTAATGCCAGACTCGACCAACACTGGCGCAGGTAGATATATACCTTCTGGAGTCAGTACATTTTTTTTTTTTTATCCTCTTCGCCACTGATCGGCTTGTTAGCCACTTGGGCGACCGGTCACGTCTATGTCAAGCACTGTTAGTACATGCACTACCTGCCAACAGTGTGTAACTATTTATATTATTATAATTATTATTAGTAGTAGAAGTAGTAGTAGTATATTTTCATTATTAGTTACATTATTATCAATATTATTATTATTTATGTTATATTATTATCATAACTAAAACTCACCTGTCCTTGGTATAATAATCCAGGCCATCAGCGCCGTGAACACCCCGCCCACCGCCCAGAACACCAGCAAGAAGGACAAGTGGCGTCCTCGCTCTGCCTGCGTCACAAACTCACAGTAGTAAGCGAACACAATAGGAATACCGCCACCAATTCTACGGGAGAGAAAGGAAATAATGTAAATGGGATAACTCTTAGTGGTTTTATGGTTGTAGTGATAACTCTTAGTGGTTGTATGATTGTGGTGATAACTCTTAGTGATTGTATGAGTGTAGTGATAACTGTGCTGGTAATTGGCAGGATTATATTGAAGGCTGTAATGAGAGCTATGTTGATTGGTGTGCCTGTGGTGAGAAAGCTGTTGGTGATTGGTGTGCCTGTGGTGAAGAAGATGTTGGTGGTTGGTGATTGGGTCGGCAGTTGACAGAACAGTGCTGATGACTGAGGAGTGACTATGATATGAAATATACTGTATTTAAACTATGCCACTTTGGCAAGAAGCAAGGATCAGCCAAGATGATTAAACAAGCTCTAAAATATGAATCATGACCCAGTAAACAAAGTCAGATAGAATAAACCATAAACATTATTCTCTTCTCTCGGTGAAAGTGAAATCAGAGAATCTTAAGCTCTATTATGCATATGAAGAAACTGATTAAAAAAGAGATTTACCTTGTTTTTTCTACTCTAAACATGTTGTAGATGTAAGGACAGTGTTAAAGGGACAAATGCTGAAGTCCTGTTTCAGAGCAATGTTTATATGCAAGATTCACAAATGACCAGTCTTTCAAAACCTGTTCTTCTCTACCTATTCCCCTCATCTCTTACTAATGCAAATCATACTACAGTAAACTAAACTATTTTTTTATCTTCAAAATATTCTTACGTGTTAATATGTTTTTCTTGTCCTTCTCCATATCTAACTTTCATCATTCCTATCCACACCAAATGTTTTGTCTTTGCTTTCCATTATCTCGATGTTATCTTTATCAAGCCACTCCCAACATTCAATCTATCCATTCATCCTTTTTAACCTGCCTTCCCAATTGATTTTTTTTAATCCAAGAATTGAAGGTAAACTCAGAACCAGGTATATGTAATCTAGTCCTCAAATATAAATATTCTTCCATTGAAATGTAATTAATATGTGGTTTTTCCTGCACAAGTTTAAAGCTATTCCTTTCCTTGCAGCGGTGATGCACGTATGTCGCTTGTGTCCGGGGTTCAACCCCTGGCTTGGGACATATGTGAGAAGGGTGTTAGCCAGTGTGACACGACAGAATACCAAACAAGGCAGGTTTTCTCCAGGTACTCTGGTTTCCTCCTGTATTAATACTGCACTGGATAATAAAGGTCATGATAAAGTAACAAAGAACAGACCGATTGCCCTTATGGCTAGTAAGCTGGATAAATTGTAGAATTAATAACATAAGAGAGTACCACCAGATCTCCACTCACACTTTCAGCCCAAATCTGATTAATATTATAAACAAATTGCCTGAACTTATAAAGTGAATCTCTTCTTACCCAATCCCAGAACAGAGCCTCGTGGTCATAAAGATGCCATAGGTAGGCATAAAGGCTGTCATTATACCAAACAGGGCATTAACGAAGAGTGCCGACAGGAGAGCCCGACGGCGACCCACGTTATCGCTTAGACTACCCCAGATCATTGCCCCGATCATCATGCCGATGAAAGTGATCGCCGCTGAAAAGAAAATACACCTCACTTATATCACGATGCAAAATATAAAGGCAAGCTTAGAATATTAGATACTGTACTGTATATATATTTAATACAAGAATAATTGCTGCAATGCTATAATAAAGAATTAAGATAAAAGATTATATTTCCTTACTAGATTCCAGCCCTTCTGGTCTATTATATAAAAACAATAGCAGTTACATAAATCCATACCAAAGCAAAAATTACAGTACTAGTCAATATATAAGAAAAACATTACATCATAGAACATAGCTGAATAGTGACATAAATGAATTGAAAAATCTTACTAGCAGAATATAAGATTTCTAATGCTTGATAGAGAAGAGATATCTCAAGGTATATCAAATGATAAAATATTGGACCTGTTCAGCTGGAAAATACAAGCCAGCAAAAGAACAAGTTGAATATGTCTGAGAGAGGCTGTTTAATCCATCTTAAACTACAGTATATTGATGTACAATTATCCATTTAAATGTAATGTACCTGTATGTTGTTTCCTTAATCCAAAAGCTCTCATAAATTATTTATATGATTTTAAAGGCCATGCATTTTTATAATTATAAGCATCCTGCATTATATAAATTATGTAAACATGCAATAAGAAAATTTTCCAAACCTCACCAAGCCATCCTTTTTGGGTGCCGGACATACAGAGCTCCACCTCTGCTGAAGGAATGACGTAAGCCACGACAAACAGCTCAATAGTGTCAGCAGCGAGACCAAGACCTGCCACGAGCAGAAGGAGGCGCTGGAATGGACCTGTACCAGCCTAGGAAAGAGAAGGGTGAGACAGGTTAGATGCATGAGGTACAGGAAATATCTGTACTGCACACGACATGACCCTCTCACAACAGAGACCGAGTTCATATAAGAATGATAGGACCTGTTCCTTATTTTGAATTGCTTTTAAACTTCCCAGCCTAATAACTTACAAAACTATGAAAAATTTGATAAAAACTACAGGATCTTGAAAAAACTGTTAAGACAGGTGCATATAATTTATCCACTCAGGAGATACCATGTTCAATGTCAGCTCAAGCGATGATCGGCAATTCCAGTCTCTTCCTGATAATATTGTACTCAGGGGTATCACAACCCCACTCCCTCTGAAGCCTAGCCACCACCCCCCACCCCGCCACTAGACCCTCTGGCTCCATTCCCAAAATCCTCGGATCTACCCACCATGATGACATACCTGCTGGATGGCATCCTCGTGGAACTGTGAGAGCAGTGGAGCATCACTCTCCATGTAGTCCATCTCATCCGCTCCTTCCATGCTCCCCGTCCCGGAACCTCCTCCTCCTCCTCCTCCTCCTCCTCCTCCTCCTCTTTCTCCTCCTCTTCTTCCTCCTCCACCTGCACCAGCACCTGTGTGGCCTCCTTCACCCTCCCTCATCATGCCACTATCAGACATGTAGCTACGGCCACCACCACTACCGTGACGTACCAGGGACGCCGACTCCAACCCGTCCCCTCCTCCACTCATGATAACCCTGTGGATAATACATTACTCTTGTAGCCATCATTGTGCAGCGGACCAGTGAGGAAGAGGATAAGTAAGTGAGGGGTATTTATATGTGAAAGGCTTTCCTACAGTCCCTGGAATATACTGTAGACTTGGTATAATGATATAATTCATTAGTTTTAAAGTTACAATAACACATGCCTGAAATAATCAAGGCTATATTCTGTTGGTGGTACAGCGGTAATGCGCGTGCCTCTCACACTATATCCTGGGTTAAACAATTGTGAAAAGGGGTGTTTGTTAATGAGTGTGACACTACCAAACATGACAGGTTTTCTTCCGGGTACTACAGTTCCCTTCTGTACTAATACTGGACAATATAACAAAGATCTAAACCAAGAACAGACCAACTGCCCGAAAGACTAGTAAACTGAAAGCGCTTATAAACTCTATGGCAGAAACTTGCCAAGTTTAAATTGAAATAGTCTAGCAATATTGTGTCTATGGTTGCTGAAAAATGGTTATACATGTAACAACTCCCTGTACATCACAACCTGACAGGATAAGGTTAAGGAGTAATGTCAAGAGTCAAAGATGGTGTGATATTGTTTTTCGTGTGTGTGTGTGTGTGTGTGTGTGTGTGTGTGTGTGTGTGTGTGTGTAAACAAGATATTTAAAGCGACGAAAAGCCTAAACATCAGTGTCATGACAAATTTAGAACACTGTGATATCTCTTAAACATGTACAGTATAGTATAAAACTCCCATTTGTGTTGAGGTGAGATACATTGTATAGCCTATACTGTACATGTCTCCCCAGCACACGTGAATATCTGTACATTATTTGTTTAACTACAAAGGTTCAAAGTAGTCATGATACTGATTTCCACTCTAATTGGAACACACACACACACACACGCACACAATATAATCACCAAATTTAACAACGGTGATGAGACGTGAAGTAATAACTGAACAATGTTGAAAAGAAAACTAAAATATTTATCAAACAGTGTGTTCAATTAAATAATCGCCCACAAACACATTTAGCAATTTATGAAGAAAATACAGGGTTTCAGAAAAAAATATACGGTATACAGATGACAGTCTTATAGATTTCAGTATAGCAATCGCGTGATTTTGCTTGTATTACACCCCCAACATTGTCCTCACTTGGGGGAGACCTTGCGCATAAAGTGAGTACAATGTTACTGATGTAATACAAGTATTCAGGTGATCAACAAATACTTGTAAGGCTGTGTGTATACTGTACATTTATCGGTGACACCCAACGTACTGTACTGTACATGTGTGGGCTTACATTAAACCGACGGTCTGAAAAAAAACAGGCATGGAAAACAAAGACATTTTCTGATGGCATAAATATTAAGTTAGGTTAGGCTAGCTTGGGTTAGGTTAGGTATGTATCTTTTCTCCTGTGACATTTACTTATATTCAAAATGGCGACCCCCAAAAAACTATTGTTTTATTTTGATTGACCGACATCTTTACCAGTCAATTTTTAGTGTTCACTCGGAGACATGTTTCAAATAAATAAAAATATATTAAAGTTTCAAAGTTACAGCAAAAAAATATGAATAATTAAATAAAGTAATCCCTTTCTTGCAACATACCATCCTCAGCTGTGAGTGAGTAGCCTATTGTTATTACTTTTGTCATATTTGGACAAATTTCCAGTAAGTTATTGTGCAGTATTTACAATACAACGTATTGCCAGTGAATCTACCTACTTTCAGCTGTTATAAAAATGATTTACTGATTACTGTGCAATAATTCAGTATGAGTTTATGTAGGACCTTTACAATACATTACTTTGCTTCATATTCTCCTTCTGTGACCTATAGTTGCGGTAAACCCATACAAAGGCATATTTTACCAATACTGTACTGTACTGTATCACCTAACAGGTCATATTACTCTTTAACATACAGTACTTGACTGGTTGAGATGCTCACCACACATTGATGGAGTCTGTTGAGTGAGGCACTAAGTAACTTGGAGTGTTTCTTGAGAACAATTGGTGACCTTGTGGAAGACACTGCAGCACCTCCGGAATATCACACTGAACTATTGGCATGAGGGAGTTTAATATAACATCAGGCGAGGGAAGAATGTTGGTTCTCGGCTGTTCTTCACACGAAAAAGCTGACACGCAAGTTCCTTGGCTGCCTTCATAACGATTTGTTCTCCGTGGTGGACTATACCAAGGAGGAAACTTGTGTATTACGAGGTCTTCCTCTGGATATCTGTACAGCATCCTTAAGTAATGACATTCCTTAATGTGATGTACTGCATCAAGTTTCTTGGAGTTTTCACCTTGTGCAGATGAAACAGCTTCACTTCTCACAAACTGGTCATTCGTTCTGCTTTGGTGAGTACAAAGGTGTAGGCGGTCAGCTGAGGTCTCATCCACACCGTGAATGTTATCCAGTGAAGACACAGTACTAACTTCATTTTTATCGTATATGCTGTTGTTTCTCACACAAAGCTCCTGAGTTGTATGATTTGTCATATGTGCATCATCGACGTTCCTCATGATGGGGCCTCTAGTGGTCTGGCTAATGCCGGGTCTTCCTCCATAATCAGTAATGTTTGGTCTCCCCACCGCGTCCTCTAATGAACTCACGCACAGGTCACGTACATTTAGCTCCCTCACTCTGCGTCGACTTGTGTCCGCCGCTCCATGACTTTTGCTACAAGAATCCTGTGAGCCACAAACCTCCACAAAATTAGGCTCACTACTCTCGTCTGCCTTAGCCATCACCAGACTCTCGGCTTACAACTCTGGCTTTCAGTTAAACATCACGTAAGACTCAATTCATAATTTTGGCTTTCCTTAAACATTAGTTCATCAACATCACATTTTAAGACACCAACATGGATATTCTCGAGTTTTCTTGTTGCTATTTTGGATTAGACTGTTTTATCCGTTTCTCCAATATATACTGTGGTGAAATGTTTTAAGATGAAGATACTGTAAAGGTAAAGGCTGTAAAGGAAATAAGTTACATATAAATAACGGGTAGGCCTACACACGACCGCCTGGAAATTCTTTTTTCAACTTTCAACACTGAATTACAATGTTACCTTAACCCCTTGAGTACGATGCCCAAACCCCTTGAGTAAAATATCAACGTACTCAGGGGAATTTGTCGTAGTATTCAAAGGATTTAGACATCGTACTCAAGGGGTCACGGCATCGTACTCGGAATAAAGTCATTGTATTCATGATTCAGACATGGTTAAGGGGTCATATCAGGCGTGTTCCTAGATGTCATGGTTGTTTTAGAACCTACGGTAATGTGTGTGTGTGTGTGTGTAAAATGCAATTATAAAGTGGTTTTGGTATAAAAAATCAGTGCCATGTCGACTCCTCAAGCTCGCCAAGTTGTTATGCAGGACGAACTATAGGAGAGTATTTCTTCACACAGACGGTGAGAGATTTATGAAAGTCTATCAACTGAAGCCGCGGAAACAAGAACAATATTAGGCTTAGAATAATGGGGGGGCTTACACAGGATTTCAGGTAAATTGGTTAAATTAGGTAAAGTTCAAAAGTATGTATAAATGCACTATATACTGCAATATAATAAGTTGTATCCTGTTTTATTTGTATCAAAGAAACTGGTATTCCCCTGTACAACTATAAAGGTGTAAATAAAGAAAGGGCTCGGGTGTGGTGGTAGGGCGTCTTTAAGGGTGAGCGTTGCGTGTCACTAATGGGGTAAGCACAAGGCCGAGTTTCCCGCGCACATCATGCAGCTGCCGGACACTTTGGTTACTGCTGCCGGGGTACGACGATGGCCGACGTCTGAGATACTCCCTCTTTGCTGCATCACATTTCTTGAATTTACAATTAGATTTTAAGGATCATATGAAGATCCTCCCCCCCCCAAACCTACTTGGGGGGGAGGATCTTCATATGATCTAGCCTGGGGGGGAGGATCTTCATATGATCAAGCCTGGATGGGAGGATCTGACCTGACCAATGACCAAACCTGACCTTATTTTAAGTCATTTTACATTATTTGAAGTTTGGGGAGGAAGCACGCAAAGTATTAATAAATGTGACATATCGTTTTTACGTTTTTTCCATCAACAATGAAAAGTGAGACCTTTAATTAATACGTTCATCGTATTTTGGGGATAATATATATGATTTCTTCAGATTTTAAATTAATGAATTCCTTTAATTCATACAAGTATAAATCCACCACTGATATACCGCAACAGAAATTAATTATTCCCGAAAAATAATACTGTAACATAAATATATGCCCTCAATTACAGAATCTTTTTAAGTTTTTGTTTGAGAAGTGATAGGTATATATATTTGTGTAATTGTTTTATCTACACTACTGATTACTCCTTTACATCGTTCCTCGTCTTTAGGGGCCACATTTCAGAGAGGGTATATGTCACTTGTTACAGTAAACGTTCATAGGTGTGTGTGGCTCCCATGATATACAAACAAACCGCTCAGAGCCCTGGAAGAGTCAGTCCAGGCACTAGAATGATCCTGTCTATGTCTGTGTATATGTCTGCCTGTGTGTCTGTCAGCGTGTATGTGTCTGTGTTTGTGTTTTTTCATCATTGCTAACAAACTAATCTTAGCCATATCAGCATCTACACTGATCAAGTCACAGTGACCAAAAATTAAATAAACAAATTATATAAATCATTATACATCAGAAATTTTTGGATAACACCACTTAAAATTTGTTATACAGACATGGTAGGTCCTTCATTAGTTAATAAAATAGGATTACGAGCTAACAGTGAAATGACGTCCCGTTCCAGTGGCTCTGTCGTAGCTGGAGTGACAAGG